ATGGTTAGTTGGCATTAATTTGGTAGTTGATTGTTGTCAGTCTTTGTGTGAACATTGGATAATTGAAACTCTGAATACAATGATTGACTGTCGATGCAGGTCGTAATATGCATATTTATATTACTATATATGACAAATTATATAATAAATATCTAACCGAATATACAGGGTACTTTTACCGAAAATAATATTTATTACGCCGTATGCTACCGTCCTTCCTTGACCAGTTCCTGGCGTCGTCGAACGCCTTGTAAACATTTAAATTCCTAGCTTTCGAAAATCGTAACTATTAACATGTCGTAAAATTGCTTTTTTACCAACAAGTCTTCTTTTTTTTTTGCCCGACGACATTAATGTCATATTCGAATTCAACTTGTGTTAACGTTTAGTTTACTCATCTCGTAGGAGCGGTCCAATAAAGAATTAACTCAAGAATGCAGTTACCGAAAATCATTGTCGATATATATTTATTAACAGTTATTCTAAGAACAGTCGTTAGATTTGCGTTATTGTTCTAAGACATTTGGTAGAATCTACATTATTCGCAATGCTCAGAGTAAAAATAACTTATGTGTTTTAAAGTTGATACAAATAAAATTTTATATGCCAAGTTCAGGTTTGAAAAGTTAAAATGAAGAACCAACCCTTCAAGCGTCGATAGTGTTACGTAAATTACTAAGATTTACCAATTTGTCAATAGAATATTGACATATTTAAATCTTTACATGAATTTCTAGCATTATTATTGTCGGTGCATTTGTGCGGTTGCGTTTTATAATGACTGGTTATTATTGCTTTTATGTTAGCGTGCGTGAGGCATACGCCTTTTAAAGGCGACCGTGAGGTAGTCAACTATCGAATGGTATGAAAAAGTCAGCATAGATTAAGAGAACCAAAAGTACATTTTTAACGTTTATAATAATAAGTTATTAAGCAGACACATTTTCCTACTTAATTCTCTTTAATAATAATAACATAGCTTACACTTAGAATAAATAACCATTCGAAAATTCCATAAAATGCTTAAGATGCATATCAACCTTGAAATTCTATCAATAAAGCTGTTCATAATTATAAGCAAAACTACTACGAGTCGAATTATAAAGAGCAAAAAATTCTATAATTTGTTTTTCAAATTCGTCATTTGTCAGCTCTTCGAATTCGATACATTTTTGAATGTCTCCTAACCAAAGCTTTTTTGTTTGCTCGAGTGAAGTAAGTGTATCTACTTCTGTAATTTCGAATTTCAAACATGGATAATCTTGGATTCCAAATTCAAACAATTTTGACAGATAACTAAATAAATAACTGATTGGCTTTGCGTGCGGACATTCTTTAAAGAGTGGCAAAAGTGATCGTTCAAAAGGTACATTTGCGGCATAGTATTCGCCCAAGATAATATCTGCATCTCCCAATTCTTCCGTATTGGTGATCTGTGTATGCACAATAATAATTTCCTTCATCAAGTATTTAACAACCGCAGACCTTGCACCGAACCTCAACATGTATCGATATATTACAAGGGGGTATTTAAGAAATGCGTGAGATTGGGAAAGCAGGTTATTTTCGTCTTCGACGACAATTCTGTACTTTTCAAATGCAGAGAGAATCTGTTTTTCGGGATTGTCAACCGAGTTGATAATGTAATCGAGCACATCAACGTGTGCAAGATTTCTTTTCGGATCAAGTAATTCAATCAAACATATGTCAAGCATATCAATCTTGGATATTTTTCGAGCAATAGCAAAGCCCTCAATAAGACTCTTTCCGACATTGACTATTTTTTTTCTGAATAAAAGTATAGCGTTTCCCAACAGAGTGTCGGTCAATGAAACCCCAATTAATGCCAAAGTATGTAGTTTTTCGGTAACAAGTTTTTCCGAAGGAATACTGGTAGAGTACAGAGTTAGCAGGGTGCATTGTACAACAGGATTTTCCAAGTCTGTCATTATTTCATAGTAGCCTATCTTTTGCCAAGAATCCAGTAAGTTTGGAAAAGTGACAATCGCTTGTGTCACAATCTTCAATTCAAAAGCTGATGCGTAATTTGAAAACAGATCATCTTTATATTCGGCGGCGAAATTTTCGAATATGTATGTTCGGAAAATTGGATTAGGCGGAAAAGGCGTAAAGCCATATAATTCAATTACCGTATACTACCGTGAATAAGCACCCACCCTTATCATAGTGAGGGGTGCTTATTCACGATAGGATCGGCAACTCTTATCGGCATTATTAAAATGATCTGCAAATCATTACGTAAAGTATAATCCACAACAGCGTTAAGGGGTAGCTTACAACAGTAAGCGTACTGTTATTTGTGTTCGCAAAATGGCTTGTATAGTTACGTAATTAACTATGGGTGGGGGTACGTCATGCAGTTAATCTAGGTAATCTTGGGGGTGCTTATTCACGATACGATGCCATTTCTTATAAGGGGTGCTTATTCACGATGGGTGCTTATTCACGGTAGTATACGGTATTGTTTTGAGATCGTTTTCGTTTCCAGTTTCTTTTAATATTTGGCAAATTAACTGCATGTCATCACAGTTGCTGTTTGTATATTCTTCCTTGTAATTGAGGATATAAGCGTACACATCACTGGAGATATTATTGCCCCCACAGACCGTGTTTTCCATAACCACATTTGAGCCGGTAAACAAAGTATCGACTAATGTGAGTATTCTTTAGCAATAGCTCGGTTAATTCTAGGTCGAGCAACGGTTTACCGATTCTCACAGCATGAAATAATGCGTGTATGCGCCCATACGTTTTGGTTAACCATCGATATTTTGTATGGATTGAATTTACTATGTTGTACCAATCGCGAGAGCAACGTCCAAGTAAGAAAGGGTCTTGCAAGTAACTTGCAATCACCGCTTTTAATTCCGTTGGTAATCTCTTCATTAGCGAGAGTATAACGATTTTACTTCACAAGACAGTGGACTTTGCTTAGCGACTTTTTCAAAATTGATCGGGAAAATTCACACTTTTATATATGATTTTGCAGAAGTTTTTGTTAAATAAAAATAGTCAACTTGTATCGTAGAAAGCTTTATAATAAATAGAAAAACAAGTAACATGCTGGAAGAAGCGGATACTGCCGCAAGCAATTGACACCAATTGAGATTAAAAGACCTACAGTGCGTTGTTGCTGTACTTATTATAATTGTGTTACGACTCGTACATACAATAGAAATAGAAGCATGTGATTTGAAAGTATTATTTGTTGTGTATAGTGCTAAATATTTTATCTCTCTAATAAGAAAACAACCATCAAGTTTACAAAACGCACTACCGTCATTGTGTATGGTGATTGCAAGTTTCATACAATTATAATTACGCTTTATAAACTAGATTAGCGTTTAACAATGAATAAAAGTTGGCATAAAATAAACAAGCACAATGTTATTAAATGTTGGTATTTTTTATTGGAAAGGCCAGTGCAAAAATTTGATTTATTATAACCATTATCGTATCGTTGCTACATCCAGCTATTTGAATAAACTTGCGTTACGCAAGTATGCAAGCATGTTTGCATAATGCAGTAATGCACAGCAAGTGTTGCAAAGTTTTTTTTTGGTCAGTGTTGTATTGTCTCCTTCCTTCCGATAAAATTTGCGCAGAAACTCCGTATTGTTTATTATTTGTCGAATTTCTTACTTAATGCGAGCTTATCTATTTGTTGTATATAAATGGATAACAAGAAAGTCACCAGATTATGCGTAATAACCAAAAAGGGTACTCACAAACACAATGAATTTTATTGGGTGATGATAATTTACCGCGACGAAATGCGAAATACTACTATGAATATATAAAAAATTGTATATTTTTAACACTTTCTACTCTTAAAAAACGTTGTCATGTTACACTACTTTATGAAACAGACTGAAGACCAACGTTTTCCTTGTTCTATGTGTTGTTGGACTATTTCGTTTAATACATAAAGAACAGGTTTATATGTTTATAATTAGAAATCTCGTTTATAAAGATACCTTCCCGGGTTCAAAAAGGGTTATCAGGTGAATGTTTTTGGAAACAAATACGGCTACTATTCGGATAAACAATCTAACAGCAGGCTATATAAAAATACGTGTTTTCTTTTATCCGAAGTTTTGTTTCCAAATCGTTCTTCTAGTTCACCACAAACGTACCCTTGGCGGAAGAGAAATGATACAAATTTGAATTTCGATGGATAATGTTATTTACTTTTTACGTTAATATGAGAAGAATATATACGGCCAAACATTAATTGCCCACAAATTGATGCAATCTGCTTTTCTTAATTCTACCCCTTGTTATATTCATCATTCAATAAAGATCGACTTTTTAAGTCGGCTGCATCAACATTAGTTTTTACATAGAAAACGATTCAACCGATTATGTTACAACCCAGCCTCAATAACTTATAAAATGAAGAATAACCCGAGTCAAAAATCAACACAAATTATCCATACATTGAAAGCCTTTTTTTTAGTGCTACGTACGGAAAGGATTTCCGGTATACAAAGTAAATGTCTTAAAGTATTATGATTGATTGCATAATTACCCCTAGATAACGATACGCAAGCCACCTTTGTTGCTTGCGACCGAAAAGCCAACGTCTTATTCTTAATACATTTATGGACAAGTTTAACGTGAAACTTTATAGCAGACGCTGTTATCAAATTTATCGCTACCTCATTCACTGTCCTGCGTGAGAACAAATTCTCAGCCCCATAAGCTGCGGACATTGGTTGTACCATGTTACACTGATCTACAATGTTATTATTATCGGTAGATCTAGTTTATTATGTGCAACGTCAACGCTTCTCACGCACATTTCAAGGGGTATTTATTATAAATATTTCTAGATTTCTAGACAGACGATTAACTAAACATATTTTTCTGTATAACTACATAGTAATAATATGTGCTAAGCTATTAGAATATATAAATCTTTTCCGTACTAATTACGCTTGAAATACAAATCAATTTCTTTAACCTTAAACCCCATATTAACTTAAATTATAAAGAGTAAGAAAATCTATGGCCTGCCTTATAAATCCATCACTCATAAATTCATCAGATTGAATAGATTTTTGAATTTCTCCCAGCCAACGTTGCTTTAATTCTATTGTCTGCGTTGGTGACACAAGTGCATCTACTTCTATGGGTATCGCTGTCAAAAATAGACGTTGGATTTCAGACCCAAACAAATTGGCCAAATATCCTTCAAATAAATAGCTGATTGGCTTCGTACGTAGACATTTTTTGAACAATGATAAGAGCGATGGATCAAAAGGTACATTTGCAGCGTAATATTCGTCCAGAATAGTATCTGCATCCCGTAACTTGTCTGCATCATCGGTATCTTCAAGTTGCGAATGCACGATTAGAATTTCTTTCATCAAGTAACTGACGACGGATGACTTGGCATTAAATCTTAACATGTATCGATATACTACAAGTGAGTATTTAAGGGACGTGTGAAGTTGTGATAAGTTATTTCCACTTTCGAACTTTTTCAATGCAGACAAAATTTGCTTTTCGGGATTATTGATCGCATTAATTACGTAATTCAGTGCATCAATGTGTTTTAGATTTTTCGAAGGATCAAGAAAATCTATCAAGCACATTTCAAGTACATCCGCCTTGCACATCTTCCGAGCAATTGAAAAGCCTTCAATGAGGCTTTCTCCGACATCGATTAATCTTCTTGCGAATAAAAGTAGACAATTTCCAATCACAGTATCAGTTAGTGGAAATCCAATCGATTGTAATTGGCATAACTTTTCAGCAACTGTTTGTATTGAAGGAACACCAGTTGAGTAAAGCTCTAATAGAGTGAGTTGCACAACTGCGTTTTCTAAATCTGCGATAATTTCATGATATCCCATTTTCTTCCAGATAGTTAGCGGCAAATGTTGATGATTGATTATCACCTTGGCTATAATTTTCAAATCAGAGGCTGTTGCGTAACCGCCTGGAAACAGATCATCTTCAGATTCATCGAAATTTTCAAATATGTATGTGCGGAAAGTCGGACTAGGCGGAAAGGGCGTAAAGCCGTGGGTTTCAATTATTGTTTTGAGATCTTTTTCGTTTTCGTTCTCGGTTTCTGTTCTTTCTAATACTTGACGAATTAACTGCATGTCATCACAATTGCTGCTGTTTGTGTATTCTTTTTTATAATTAAGAATACAGTCGTATATATCCTTGGAGATATTACTACCCCACAGACCGTGTTTTCCGTAATAACCAAGTTTGAGCCGGTAAACAAAGTATCGACTAATGTGAGTGTTTTTCAGCAAGAGCTCGGTCAACTCGACGTCGAGCAATGGTTTGCCAATTCTCACAGCATGAAATAATGCATGAATGCGTCCATACTTGTTGAGTATCCATTTATATTTTGTATGGGGCGAATTAACTATTGTATGCCAACTGCGCGAGCAACTTCCAAGCAAGAAAGGGTTTTGCAAGTAACTTGCAATCTCCGCTTTCAATTCTATAGGTAATTTATTCATCGATCGTTATGTTTATACTATATAGCAGGAGGCTATTTATATATAATATTTTCTTTATGCAACTCTTGCTAATATGGTAAATAAAAGCAGTCGACGTAAGACATTAAATATATAAATTGCAGTAGGCGGGCTAAAGACGACTGTATAAGCAGGTTTAATGCTAATATAAACAGGTTTTAATATCCGATTAATTTGCGAGTCTTTCTAACGATGTTGTTTATAAACGCACATTATTTATTTTGCAACATCTATATTTAGATTGTTTCTTTGTCATACGACGCCGAAGGATGCCCAAACGCAAATATTTTTGGTTTTAGGCCAATTATAAAAAGCGGGTCAACAAGGGTTTTCGGATATTAGCGGCGGTTAATGCGGGAAACAAATACCGAATATGTCATTCACATGTGTTTCTATATTTTATAAATTGTGTCTTCTCCCCAAAAAAAACAAATATACACAATGGTCTATGAAGTAACACCAGACATTACTGAATTAATATATATTACAGAGCTTATTTATTGTATAAAGATGCTTAGAATATACGTTTTGTTTATGTCATTAAATAGTCAAAAATGGGACGTGTAATGCGCATTATAAAATTATGTAAATGTATGACCCGACTTTTGTCGCACAAACTTATCAAAAACGGAAATTTTTTCTTTGTTTTGAGAAGGCTTAACGTACATAATGTTTTATATCCGTACGGTTCAATTTTGTCTTTTACATTATAATTTATGGGTTTGCTATATAAGATACATTGTGCTTTACGCACAGAACTATACCCGTGTGTAACAAAAAATTGAAGCTATTTATAAATTAAATATAAACAAATGACGACCGCAACAAAGACATTTTTCTACGACAATAAGTGTACTGATTTAATAGCGATAGGTTCTAAAAAACGTAATCTTGGCAGTTGTCGAAACTTGGCATGTATTATGTGATGTGTTACTTAATTCTTTTTTAGAACATATTAAAAAAGTTGTACTCAAATATTGTATGTTTGAGTCCTGTAACAGTAAGTGATATACATCCATACATAAATAGTAGTGACTAAAAGCCGAACCACGCTATCTACGTTGTTTTAAAAAATAAAAAGCAAAATGTTTTTTCTTTGTATATTGTTGTTCAAATTAATAATTTTGTTAATACTGTAGATTAATTTAAACGGTAGTGGAGTAAGAGATTGTATTTTTTCATCCACTATTAAGTAATTGTTTGAAACATTGCCCGAAATAAATAGTTACAATCTTTATGCCCTTTTCTAACTGCAAACTTGTTACAACACAGTCTGCTATGATAGTTACGATTTTAGTATTATGTTCTTTAGCATAAATTGTTTGCTTTGAAGGTATCGCAATATTACTACATATGGTAAGCACTAGCTAGGGAGGACAAAGTTTTATAATTACCCATGCGGCAGTTTGGATTTTCACCTGAACTTAATATAACCTCATTTGGTAAAGAACCGTTGCACACACACACACGCAACAACAAACTATGAAGATCAGACTTACATAATATTTGTCAAATTACGTAAAAGTTTTTGCGGTTGTCATATAATAGCAACAACAACCATATGAAGTGCCAATTCGAACACCTCAAATTGTATTGTATCATCGTTCAATTGTTCAGTCACGCTCATTGTCAAGTAACTGAAAGCTAGCTTATTTTGATATTATGCAAACTTGTAGCTTTTAGTTATGTAGAGAACCTCATTCGTATGTCTCGTTATAAGCCAAGAAAAACTTGTCGTCGTTAACATACCTTCCTGGACCCGGAATAATTTCATCATATGAAACAATGGCAAAACGTAGTTTGCCCCATAATTTTAAGCCTTTGCTCCATTAAGATTGGGGCATTTTCAATAAGCACATCGGCCCGTGCTTCCGGATATACGTCTGTGTAACCAAATTATTTATAGAAATCACAAGTATGTGCCACAACGCCCACCTTAAATTCGGGCAGGGGTATCGATAAATTCCCGTGAAATGAACGGACCCTCGCAGTCAGGTACTGATTTTTTAATAATTCCATAAAGAGAATTAAGCATAATTATTCCGAAAGCAATTCCAAACCGTTGGCGCATACCCATCGTAAACATTTTTATACAGTTTAAATATGTTAAATACTCCTATTCTATGACAAAAGCATAAGACAAATTACGTTGGTATTGAGCTTGAGCATAATTATTGTGATTTTTGTTAACAGATGGAATTGAAATTTTGATCGCTAACCTGTTTAAATTAAATTTAGCAAGTTAAATACTTACTATTTAACCGATTATGTATTATCGATTTATTAAAGTTTTCTTTTACTGTACAATTTTTAGTATACGAGCGATACATGATACATGTCAATCTTTACCCGACTGCTCTTCCGCTATGCTATAATTTCACAATCCAATTAACTAATTGCATGCTTACCTTTTTTTTTTAATGAAACAGTCCTCTATTCGTGCCAGATAGCTGACAAAATAGTTGATGCCAATAATAATATAATATAGTTGAATAAAAAAGTATTCGATTAGACATATAACACAGTTTAATACGGGAACCGTTTACTTGCCCGACAGTCATTTTGCCCGACAATTGTTTGCGGCAAATGAACTGTCGGGCAAATAAACCGGACCCGTTTAATAGCGCCGAGAAAGGCATAAAGCCAAACATACGAGCTATTAGTGTATTTAAAACTATTGCTAAAGAGCTTTTCCAATAATTTAATGCTCCGGTAAGATATTATTCTCTTACTTCGAGTCGACAACATGGCATGGTTTATTACCAAAATCTCAAACACTCTGGATTTTTTAGAATGCAAACACCTGCAATGTATGAAAAAGAGATATTAGATAACAAAGTTGAGTTCGATTGATAAATAGTAACAATTTACTTGTGATGCTAAATTATTGATAATAGTACCGTAATTGATACAATAAACGTACAACAACTGAACTGCTTAAAATACGAACATGTAATTTAAACTTATTATAACATCAAGGTATACTGTAAATATGTCTGTCAAAGAAGCTAAAGTAATAAGGTGTCTGACTTTAACCAAGAAGTAAGCAATAAAAACTCTTGTGCAAAACCGTTATGTATGTGTTTCATCTTAATATTACTTGTCATAAAAAATTTTTTTACAAGAAGCTAAATACAATATTGCTTTATTAGCAAGGCCTAAGCTGTTGGGAAAGCCGACATTACTGAGACGATGGCTACAGCCGAATTTCTAACAAGATAGGGAATTGTCATCAGTTATTTAAAGTTCATCTCAAGGCGATAGTTATTTTATCTAGACTGAAATATTTATAATAATAAGGGTATTATACAGTAGTTATAGAAGATCTGACGATTCCAATTGTGCGCTCCGGAACTCTGAAGTGAATAGGTGAATAAAAAGTCATAGAGCGATGTGAGCTTAAAGAGTTATGGTAGCGTTTGGTAGCATTACAAACACTTATCGACATACAACTTTGTTTATGATATAGTATACTATTAAAATCACAAACAAGGATAAACGTTTGGAAAAACGAGTGCATAAAATTTTGTTTTGAATTACAATTAAGCAATTAGGTTTAAGCTTTGCGCCAGATTTTTCGTATATTGTAGGCAGTCAAGATAAGATAAGCTTGTCGTTTCTTTTTCTGTAATAAAATAACCAGTAATTCAATCCAAGTTACCGGTTTTGACAAAACCCAACGCTTTGCGTATGTGTTTAACAAGCAAGCCAAGTGAAGGGCTTCCACTTTTAAATATTACCCAACAATCGGCAAGTTAATTAACTTGTGTTTCCTGCCTTCTTCCAATTATACTTTATATTTATTGAAGACATTTTATGCGATACCAGATAACGAGAAAGTTTTGTTATGCATAATATAATTACAATAAAATGCGCGGCATGAAAAAAAAACTTGGCATACAAATTAACAAGAACGCTTCGGATGCTGATAAAAAAACCCAATAATAATGTCTTCGTGTTCTGGTTACTATGTAAGTAGATTATCTGGTCTGGTCAGTACTACACCTGAACTCTACAAACAATCGATTGCGGTTGATCCTTATACGAAGCGTTCCCTTTCGCTTTAGAGATCAGATGCGTGTAACATCGTACGTGTACAACATCCCGTGAAATTTAAAAGACTTGTTATCACATGATTGTAGCGATGCCGGATGGCCCTGTGATGTGGCTCTCTCAAAAACCTCGCTCGTTCCCTAGACAACTTCACCTCCACCCTGGGGTGGTTGAAACCTCAGTCACTGTTTTGAGCCCGTAAGCATCCACAGTTATTGTAAGTATCGATATAAACAGCGCCGTAGTTTCTGATTTACCGTCTTTTTTTACAGTATTATTTTCTGATAAAGTATAACATCGTAAAACTAACTTGTTCACTCTATGAATGCCAGACCACCTCAGCCAAAGGTGGTAAAGAAGTAATAGAAGAAGACCGATGAGCTTATCCAATAATCCACACTTTACCTCAGGAAAGAACTGTCCTGCGTCCACAGAATTGTTTCATGCTATGTCGAAAAGATATAAGGGATCAGGTTCATCGGAGAATATTACCATCTCGCACATCTTCATTTAAGCTGATGCAGATGATAGGTAATCTTTTAATGAGCAAAGGAATAATAGTTACTATAATTCCTCAGTTTGAAATTGTGCTTCCTGAAAATACGCAAGAGAGGATGTGGTGAGTGGACGTGTGACTGTTATTATTGCTCGCTCTACATGAACGTTACATTGATAGACATTTGGTCTACAGCGATTGGCAACGCATGTCTGGCTCTTGCGTTGATATTTCAGATCTTGGTCTACAACGACTGACGGTATTAACACTTGCATTGTCCTCCATGCGGGTTTAATCTTCCAGGTAATGCAATGCGAGGTCGAATACATGCAGAATATGTACGAATAAAGTTACTAACGTACATGTTCACTACTTACGATTGCCTTTCATATGTAGATACCGGGATTGTCTCGTCTTGCAACGATCAAACCACACACATAACCAGGTTGCTCAGTATGTGTCTCGGTGTAGCGGTGCGGTGCAGCACTAGCAATAGCGGTCATCATATTGCTGAATCTATAACAAAAACAAGAAATAAATACCGTAGTAAAGTCTCCAAGTGTTGTCATAAACTTGCGACTGTAATCGTTTGATATTGTCAACGAAAGCATGCACAGCTGGGGGATCTGATGTGGAAGCGACGACTTTATGGCTAGTTTCAATGTCTGAGGGCGATAACTTTTTACCTATCAAATATAAAAATTGTGACTATACCAGGCACACTACCCTTCCCCGATTCTCGCAATCTTATGGTTGAGATGTAACAAATTACATCCAAGTCATCTATGTCCGAATTGACATAAGCAGCAGCTTATCTTAACGAATTAAAATGTCCCATAACAACCAAAGCCACTTGCAAGAGATTAATAGCGTCATCGTCGTTACATTCTGCCACAGAATTATGATTTTATGTTTCCTATTCATTGATCTTTGCCAAGTACGTTCTCAACTCGACATCACGATTGATAATATGTAGGTTAGCCCATCGCATCGGACGTAGCTCTAAATAATGACTATCTTGATTAGAGTACTGCTGACATTGATATATTTAGCAAGGGTCCCTTTTGGAGAGCGGGGTGCATTGCAAGAGTCAGTAAAGCGAGAAAAGATTGTTTATTAGTATTATGATATTTAATCGGGAGCAGTACCTATACAATCGTGACGAAATTAGGCATCATTCTGATTTAGCAGCAGCTAATAAACCCAAACTTTTTTGCAGCCCTAAGCCGATGGATAAACTAAAAATCGTTTTTTGGTATGTAATGGCCGGACTGCTTTTTGCATATTAGTATGACGTTAAATATATCCCCGATTATTCATACGATCAAATGGAATCCATTCCAAATAAGCATCATTTGGTGAGTTTCTTTAGACTAATGTTGAAGGACAAATACCTAACGAGTTTAGTTAAAAGTTATTCACACATGCCTAGCGAGTAGGGGAAGAAATTACGTTAATATAGTCTTGATATTCTGCCCAGATGACCCGTTGATTGTAAGCGGGAAAACGTCGCTTAATTATCTTCCTGGACTGTCCATTTTTTTAACTACTTGTGCAAGTTTACATAATACGTTGAATGTTGGCCAAAATAAAATATACACACACCAGAAACATTACAATAATTTTTCAACAATTTGGACATAAATAATTACATGCTCTTTTGAAATGTGTGTTGATCAAGAATTGTGAGATTTCTTTTAACCAAGTTGTCAAGGAATTAAGAATTTATTATTAAAATGATAATTTGAGTTACGTAATAAAAATTACGAAAGATTCTTCGCGTTAATTTTTATTACGCTCTGTGACAATACTCTTGTATTTAGTGAATTCCCGTGTTCCTATAATATGACAATTAATCAATGCCTGGACAAAGCCCGAAAAATAATTTTCAGAGAGAGCGCGACTACGTCGAGTGGATGGTGGTAAAAACTATTTGACTTGGTACTTGCTTTGTAATAGAGTCCAATATTCACGTTTTTCAGTATTAAAATTTCCAACCTAAATTGTTACAACTTTGGTAAGTCGGCCTCAATGCTTCTTCTTGATACCCAACCATTCTTTATGGAGATGCTCTACTAGACTTGCAAATATGTTAAATAAGCATCATTCCGACCTTAACGAACCCCACGTTTGTAATACCCATGCACGATCCCAAAGACCAATGCCTCTTCTTACTGATAAACACAAAAATTGTCGTTTAAGGGTTGCGACAAATAATGGAAATCAAAACTGGAACAAAGGCCCTATTCGTTTCATGTTCCATCTGTTTCACCTTCCAATTTGGGTTATATATGCAATTTAGGGGGGATGGCTAAAGCGGGGGCAAATCACGTGATTGTGTACCGGAATCGGCCGGAAAATACCAAAACGATTATTGGCCAAAAATAATTAAGTCAAAATCAGTTTAAACACATTTATAC